TAATCCGCTGTCACAGAAAGGTACGTTTACTGGTGAGTTATAGGCAAAGCTGTGAACAGCAAAAGGTCTAAAAGACTGGAAAAGTGACATTCAGCCAGCATGGTTAAGACTCATGAAGTGAAACAAAACGTTCTTTAGTAAACTGCGTATTCCCTATTGATCGAACTGCTTTATTTGTTTACTTACTGCAGACATACAGCTTGTTGATCTTCAGAATGTCATTCTGTGACATGCCTTCCCTCTGGCCTATTTGTGCTGAGGGCTCGAGGGGAATGATGGTATCTTCTGTATTCTTCGAGAAGTCTTTCGGTGCATAATACATTACAGACGAGTAGTCGTATGAACATTGAGGTTGTTTGTGTCCAATCGGTCAAAGTTTATTGCTGCCCTTGCAGGATGTTTCCATAGTTGATCTGGACGAAGGCGTCCCTGTCACTTCTACTCTGCTCGTGCCAGAAGCCGAGTGCGTGAATGAGCTCATGCTGAATGATGCCATTTTGAATGCACCCTGTACCCAGAGATAATTCTTGCGACAATCCAGTTCGCCCAACCCAGGACCAACATCCGTTTTGTTTCACAACGCTGATGTCGTCGGGCTGGTCGGTACGAGTTACAAACCGGATGCAGGTGCTCATGTGGAAGCCACTGATTGCATTGTCAATCTGGGTCTTTTTGGAGCTGGTAAAGGAATCACTCACGACATATGACACTCTAACTGTCTTCAGTAACTTTGGCCATCTGCAGTTTATGCAGATTCTTGCATTCCTAGTGTTAGTGAAAAAAACATCTCCTTCAAGTAAAAGGTCTGATATTTCTTGGTTTGCCGTCAGGATTTGAGAGTTGACTGTCTGGGTATCTAGAAAGAGAATAAAAAAGGTTTAGTCAGATTAAATAGATCTATGAAACAATGCTAATCGTTCTCATATACATGCACATACAGTACATGTAGTATGAGGCAGTCAGTCAGCAATGAAGCACAATGAAACTAATTACCTTGTGTCTTTCCTTTGCAGTAATTGAAACTCCAGCGATGATCTCTGTCAATAAAACAGCAATGTCATTATGTAATGTCATAATGTAAGGGCATTAGATGCCGAGGTCTTCTTCATTGGTTTCATCAATAGAAGCCTAAGTGAACACAATGTAGCTGTTTCATTTAATGACTGAAAACATTAACATGTGACATTCATAAATGTTAAGAGTAGAAATACACCCTGGTGTCAGTATATGTACCTTTTGTCATGATTCTTGAGGTGGGTCTGGACTCCGGTCAGGGAGTGGCCTGCAGGCAGTTGCCAGTTGAAGTCTTGGCTCCAGTAGTTGACCATCGGCGTTTTACGACATTCAAACGTGAACAAGTTTGGAGCAGAGCAGCAGAGGAGTTTCCAACTGAAACAAGTTCAGATCGAGGAAACCATTTCACTTTTGTTATAATGTCTTTAAGTCATTGAGAGTTTAACATTTAATCAAGTAGTGAAACTTGAGTGAGATATGACACATGTTAAGAACAGGGACGAGGTGTACGAGGCGTCGGTGTCTGACCTGTGAGGAGACTGCCTTCACTCACTGCAAGTGCTGCAATTTATACGCTTGTGACGAGGAAATAGTGACTCCACGTCTTCGTCTGTGGGTGCGCCGGCATGTTTTCATGAGCATGTGTATTTGATACCTCGTACCAAACAGCAGAGATATGTGTTGTCACTTGTCAACAAAAGAGAGAAAAGAAAGATTCCCCTCTCTTTTTCTTCTGTCGTGCCATAAGTACCAATTATCTAATGACTTGCATGATAATCACAACATCTTCCTCATAGCTGTCAGATCATTTACCAGAACCTCTTTGTTGTTGCACCAGATCACCAACTGTGGGGAAACATTTCAGCACAATTCATTTGTAAACTAATTCTACAAAAGTACTTCACTGCACTGAGGAGAGATGAAGGTAAGGGAATGAGATTTAATGTGGTGAAATATAGAATGAAATAAATCAAATGAAAAGACAGCAATACAGTCGAGTATTGATTTTCTACTCATACCAGGTTGCTCAGTACCAATGATATTCGCTTGATCGCTGCTGCACATAACTACTTCAAGGAATACTCCACTGAGATGAAGATGAGAGGAGGAAGAGGAGAAACCTCGTGTCCATCACGGATCCATGAGCGCAATGTGTTGCAGTCATTGCTCCACTTTTAAATGACTGAATATGCTACTACTGATGTAAAACTGTGCATTCAACAAGCAATCCAACATGACACCGAGGTTGGTGGTGAAGAAGCTATGAATGCTCAGCTGGATGCAGTAATATCTGAACATCTAAACACTCAGGTGAACCAGTTCATGATGCATTTGGTTGTAACTAGTGATTAATGTCTACACCGCAGTGATTTAGTGTCATTATGGGTGTGATGGACCGGTGTATAAATCAGTAATCTGTAATTTTGTAAGTTTAAAAAAAGATTTGACCCAAATAAAATGAAGTAAAAAGTGTGCGTTTTATTTTGATAGCATGTCTCAGCAGTTCAGTCCGCCGTAACAGCAGCAAAGTGACTCACAAGTATCCAAACCTCAGTGCTCTACAGTTGCACTTCATTTAGACGAGTTTGTAGAAATGTTTTCCCTTTGACTCGGAGGAGTCTGTTTCTGTTCATCAATCACAAAAGCTTTAAAAATGTCCAATCTGATTCTAAAAATTAAAAATATAAAAAGTCTTGGGAATCTTGAACTGTTAATCACTCAAGGTGCGCCTGAACCATCCAGTGGGCGAGGACAAAGAGTGTGACATTTCTAAATTGCTACCTGGATGCCAGACAATCAACAGTTTTATTATTAATATTCCACCTGTATGTCTGTCAGATGGATCTTTTCATTTCATAATCATCATTTACAGTCAGTCAAGTGAAAACAATGCAAAACTTAGAATGATCCACATGAAGGCAGGTCATAGCTTTGCAGCAACGAGGAAGTCATTTCCCGTTGTTGTTGAATGTGATTCATGATCAGTGGAAAGTCATTAAGTGAGGAATCTGCTGCGGTAATTAGGTGACAGTCACTTATTGGTATCTGACAGATCTAAACCTTAAAGCTTAGATTTCCCAGAGTGCATACGCTGGTGTAGGTGTAGTTACCCGCTTGAGGTCATAATATAATTCTGAACTGAAGTGATCCGTCTTCACCTGAGCGCACCTGGAGTCACCAGCTCCACACAGGAGGGTCGTAGAAGAGACACTTTGTCTCGAAGCCCTTGAGGGGCAGTGCTGCTCAACAGCAGAGAGTTAACAACAGGTATTGCTGAGCTCAGCAGTGTTTGCAATAGTTAATGTTAACCGAAATATTTTATTTGACCTGAAGTGACATTTTGTGTAGTCGTTTTTACGTTTTATTTGTTGTAGTTTCGATAAGGAACTTTGTTGGTTTTGGCCCTGGAGACAAAAACAAAGATTCCCTGTGATTTTACAGGCAGCCGGACGTGATGTTTAAGAATTAAGAATAACCATATAGAAATATATTCTGGCAGATGAAGTTGTTTGCTCATGTAGGTCATACAAAGGCACCAGTTAAATTTAAATTCAGAATGTCATAACCTGTTAGAAGTTCCTGGAGGTGCTATATTTGTGACATGATTTGCTGTCCCCTGAAGTTTTGTCAGCACCAAAGAGGTAAAGAAAAACCCGCTATCCTCTTCCCTTTCCCTCCACATCTCTGCAACCTGCCCCCTGACTAGTTCCCATGCATTCCTAGTGGCCTCAGAAACCCAATATACCCCTTTTGGTGTGTCCACAGATTCTCAGTGTGGCCTTTCCGCCATGCCAGCTGGCTTCCCCTCCTTCAGCCAAATGGAATGTTAAGCCCCACTTGTGGCTAGCTTTGTCCCCCATCATGCAAGGCAAACAAAAGGCAAAGTGGTTTTTCATTGTATAAGGGAAGTCCAATACCCCCAAATCCTCCTCACCCATTTATTCCTCTGTTCTCACAAAGAAACGTGCGCAGTGGCAAAGTGTGTGAGCCAAAGCAGGAGAACCTGCACACGACACATAGACACCCATAGGCCTGCACGCATGTAGGTCAGCAGGTGTTTGCATGCACACAGGAGTGCTACACACACACGCACACACTCACACACACACACACACACACACACAGCCAGGCATAAAGGTTTTAAAAAGGGTCAAACTAATAACTGACCTGGCAGACAAAAATGCAAGCCACTCCTTCTGTCTGATTGATCTCTCATTAGGCCATTGTTGACAACACACATACATCAAATACTCATTCATACCAGAGCAAAGGTATCAAACCTCTTCATCAAGAGAAACTCTTCCTGAAAACAGACGTATACCGATGACAATTGCCT